TTGTTTTACAGTGCATGAGTTTTTAAATGCCACATTGACGTTCCAGGTTTTTAGTTGTAAAGGAATTTGAGAGAAATTTTTGTGAAATGGTAATACTAAGAGATTCTTATAGTCATGGGTGGGCTTGGGATCAGTTCTATAAAAAGATTTCTTATTAATCTTGAGCCAATATTATAGATATATTTATATTCCTCATCAATGAATTCCAGGCTGCAAATTCTCAAAGCACATAAAAACATTGTTGAAAGTACTGACTGTTTGACTCTATTATGGTGGGCAGAATAATAATGAATGTATGAACACACATTAGTAGGTTACCTATAAATACTGAACTTAAAGGTGTTACCTATTCTGTGTATCAGACAGTCTAGGAATGGCAATTTACAGTCATGCTCTAATTCTACAGTGAATTTGATCGAGGGGGCTAAGTTATTAAGTTGTGGCAGGAAAGCTTTTAGGTCCTCATTACTTGGCCAGAGACATAATGCATCTGGTGTATATATATATATATATATATATATATATATATATATATATATATATATATATATATATATATATATATATATATATATATATAGAGGTATATATAGTATATATAGATATATATATATATATATATATATATATATATATTATATATATATATATATATATAGCAGTATATATATATATACATATATATATATATATATATATCATACACACATGTTATTGTTATATATATATATATATATATATATATATATATATATATATATATATATATATATATATATATATATATATATATATATATATATATATATATATATATATATATATATATTGTTACGAAATAGATTTAGAATATAGTTATACGTCTACCCATATCCCAACAGGTAACAAAAAAACAAAACAAAGACAATCGAACTATAAAAGGGTAGGCAAAGGATGCGAGTTTTCGTTGTATATAATAAAGTACCATAAATCCCTTAACAAAATATTCAGCTTATAAATTACCCTTAACCAAACTTAACCTAAACATTAACAGTATATACATATTAATAAAACATAAAACAATCGTGAAGCAAGGTGGAGGTGGGAGAGGCAATACAAGATTACAAATGCTTAAGTGAGGAGCTGAGATGGCTGACGAGTAAGGCTGAGTATTGTTGAAGACGGTAGGTAGTCACTGTGTCGTAGGTTTAGAGGATAGATGATCCTGTGGTCACTTCCCAGAGCCAAGTGCTCTCTCCTCGAATTGGAGCTCACAAAGAAGACTTGGAGGAAGTGACGCGAATAAATCAGGATATGGAGAAGGGAAACCTCGAGTGGTAATTCAAGACGCAGTCATACTCGTGTTCGTCTTCTAGATGTATGCTAGCCGTAACAATATATATATATATATATAAGTTAGTTGTTATATATATATATATATATATATATATATATATATATATGTTATATATATATATATAATATATATATATATATATATATAATATATATATATATATATATATATATATGTTGTTATATATATATATATGTTGTTGCTGGTTGTTGCTGCTGGTTGCTGCTGGTTGCTATGCTGCTGCATATATACAGTGAACCCTCACTTTACGTGGTCAATTGAACCCACGGAGGCCCGCGTAAAGCGAGAAACGCGTAAAGTGAACAACATAACATATGGGATTAAATGAAATAGAGACCGGCTGACACCCAAACTCCACTTTTTCCGACACAATACCTATGTTCTAGAAAAAAATAACATCTTAATTTTATGATGGTACATGCACACAATTAATACTTAAGAGAAATACAGTCGCCAAGTTAATGTCCATTCAAATAATGGACTCAACTCCCTCCCCCTCTTCTCACACTACACTCACTGGCTCTTCCCTCTCTGAGAAATTTTTGGGGGAAAACCACTAGATTTTAAGGTATAGTAATAAATAATACCTCAAACTAAAGTTAGGATAATATAATTGACATTGCTGGATTCCTTGTAAGACCAGGAATATTTTGAATATAAATGTCATATATTTTGCAAAAAAGATAACATATTTACTCAGAGTAAACAAAATACTTACATTAGATCTAAAATTTGTATGTCTAATGCAAAATCTATCATGTTTATATTCAAAATGATCATCAAATTGTAAGAATTCCAGCAATGTAAATTATATTCTGGCTGGGTAATTTGTATGAATTTTATGAGCTAAAACAAATATCTTCAGTTAATAAAAAAAAAATATTTTTCACGACACTATCTGTCAATCAAAGTACCCCCACCTTGCCTCCCCCCCTCTTCCAACTGTGCCAGATGGTCGGTTGGTCCCTCCCTCCCCCCCACCCCCAACCAACCCTCTCTACCAGATAAATGTTTGGGAGAAACCAGAATATTTACCTTTTTAGTAATAAATAATACCTCAGACTAAAGTTAGGATAATATAATTGACATTGCTGGATTCCTTGCAAGACCAGTAATATTTTGAAAAAACACTTCATATATTTTGCACAAAAGATAACATATTTGCTCTGAGTAAACAATATACTTGCATTAGATCTAAAATTTGTATGTCTAATGCAAAATCTATGATGCTTATGTTCAAAATGATCATCAAATTGTAAGAATTCCAGCAATGTAAATTATATTCTGGCTGGATAATTTGTATGAATTTTATGAGCTAAATAAAAAAATTATACTTCACCCGCATATATGAGTAGATGCACCGCGTAAAGTGGGAATTCCGGTTCTGGCAGGGTACCGTGCACATGTACTAATTTGATTACGGTACTAAATTGTTTTGTCTAGTGCAAATTATAGCATGTTCATATTCAAATAAATCAGTATCTTACAAGAATCCCAGCTATGTTAATTATATTCTCCTAGGTAATTTCACTGGCATTTTAAAATGAGAGAAGCTTAGTAGGACTGTTAAATAAACACACAGAGACCTTCGCCTCAAACTTATCACCTTAACCCCCCCCCCACCCTCCCCCCCAACCCTTCGCTGGGTGGCGTGGCTGGTTCCGTCAGTCCCTCCCTCCCCCCCAGCCAGGCTTTTAGGCTTACAGTTTTTATCTTATATAATATCTCAGACTAAAGTTAGGAGATTATAATTTGCATTGCTGGAATCCTTGCAAGACAGCCAATAATTTGAATATAAACGTCATATATTTTGCTCAAGAGATAAAAATTGTTGTACATTAGTGTACAGTACTGTAGTACATTTTATAAAAAAGTTTTTCAACTGTATTTTTGGGTAGATTTACATAGATTTCTTAGTGCAAAGCTGGAGTGCACATGTACTAATTTGATTACGGTACTAAAATTGTTTTGTCTAGTGCAAATTATAGCATGTTTATATTCAAATTAATCAGTATGTTACAAGAATCCCAGCTAT